TGGGTGATTAAAAAAACGGGCTGAGGCTTTTTCTAGTTGTCTCTACCTCCCCCTGTCTAGTTGAGGTGGGTGCGAGGTGTTTCCTCCTGGATACCTCGGGGGTTTCTGCCATCTTGCTGGCTCACATACAGTTTTGTTTTTTCCTTATACCCTCTCCCCTACTCCCTACATTCTGTTTGCTCTGGGGAAATTCAGTAACAATTTTCATTAAAAGTTGACTACTCTGAAGATGGATCACAGAGGCCTATTGCCTACAATACCTAAAGAAGGACATCTGGGAGGGTCCCCAAGATTAAGAATTCTCGGCAGCTTCTGGGAAGTTTTTGCAATTCATGCCATGGGGTCAGCCTGCCACAAGCATCTGGGGGCCCCAGCAAAGTGGGATTGTTATAGTTATGATTGTATTAGTATGTAGTGACCCCCATATTTCAATATTAAGTTGTACCCCTGTGTGAGACCCCCAAAACCCAAATGTACTTTCTCAAATGAGTGAACACCCAGAACTTGTACCCTAGACCCATATCGCACCAGTACAGTACAGCACACGATAGCCGGGAGCCACCAATAAGGACCATTGTGTTTACTCGACCACATAAAAACCGTGGACTTTTGACACTCAGGGTCTCCTGCCCCGAGAGAAGAGCACTCCATGTCACCTTGTGTTGGTGGGGCTATTAGGGCCGGCAGCCACCAATCGCACCTGCTGCAGACGCCCAGTGCCAGTCCTGATCACTCGGCACCGTCAGCGGGTGCGCATGGTGGCTGCCAGCCCCTATCACCCCTGAGGGCTTCTCCACATCCCCCTGCTCCTGAGGGGCAATCTTGACAGCAGCCGCATGCACCCACTAATGGTGGCAGCCTTACTCACACCCACTGCTGGTGCCGGCCCAAATCACTCTGCACCAATAGTGGGTGTGAGCAGGGTCTGCACCATCAGTGCATGGGAGCGATGGTGGTGGGAGCGCGGGGCTGAGGGCAGACAAGGGACTGGGGCTGCCATGGGTCACGTAGAATGGGCCGAGACCCGCCCTTGTGCCCACTGCAGCTTTGCAGCCCACAGTTCCTTTCAAGGTGCACGAATTCATGCACTGGGCCCCTAATAGCTATATATGAAGCCACTTCTCTATTGGAAATATCAGGGGAGAACACTATTAAAGTATGTGATTGTCTAACTACTATGTTGTACACCTGAAACCAATGCAAAATAATATTAAAAGAAAACTGTATTTGAAAAGAAGTCTAATACTGAGAAATTTGTGTGACTGGCCTTTGTGTCTTGAAAGAATTAATTTATAGTGGGATCACAACCCCTTATATCTCTAGAAAATTACTATTTACCTCTTTAAGGAAGGAAAGATATTTGTTCCTTTAATATAAAACCTTGGGCTTTATACTTGTTGGCTTCATAATCATTTAGCCAAAAAAAATATGAGGAATTTCATAGTTATTAGTATAGTGCAAGTTAAGAACTGCCATTTAGTCATCACTATAAAATGTTTATTAAATATGAGATACATTTAGATTTTCTGCAACATAACCCAGCTTTGCACATTATTGCAATTGTCAAAATGTTCTATAAAAATTTATTTTGTGAGGTAGTACATTTATACACTACCTTCTCTATACAGAAATGGGGCACAGAGGGATTTAATGTTGTGCTCCAAGGTATAAGCCAGGAAAAGGAAGGAGTTTTACTTGGAATCAGTCAGGACACTTCCAGTTCTGAGTCTCTGGGACAGTGGTTCTCAAAAGGAGACGACATTGCCCTTGGGGATATTATAATATCTGAAAGGAGGTTGCTAAGCATCCATACTGCACAGGACCGCACCCAGCACAAATAATTATCCACTCCAAGTGTCTACAGTGACAAGCTGACAACACCAGTTCCAGACCAGCACCTCTCCATTTCATAGGCATACACATCACCCACGTTTGTTGCTCAAATGCAAATTCTGATTCATTAAGTCTCTAGTGGGCCTGGAGACTAAATTTCTGACAAACACCCAGGTGATGTTGATGCTGCAGGGCCTCCTGGTCTATGGACTGCACTTTGGGTAGATGGGCTGTGGCACTGTGTCAGAGTCTGGTGTAGGTAATTTGAGGTCTTCTGCACCAGGATTCTTCTGAGTATGAAACTTTGAAAGACAAGTTTATCTCTCACTCTAAAGGGGAGGATAAATTCTGTGTGTGATTCTTTCATATTAGGGTTCCACAGTGACATCAAATAATTTATACCAGGAAAGGCTTTGTAGTGTAAAGAATAAGAGCCTCAAAAGAGAGCAAAATCCTAATTCGGAGAATTTTGGAATGTTAGCTCACTGAGCAGGGTTACTAAAGTAGGTGAAATAAAATTATAAGCTAAGGAGCTTAGCTCAGATTACGCAGATTGGACTAATGTCATCTCAATGGTCCTCTAAATGTGGGAGAAAGTAGGCGAAGAATTGGAGTCAGAGAGACATTTGAAGATGCTATGTTGCAGGTATTGAAGATGGAGGAAGGGCCTTGGGTCAAGGAATGCAGGTGGCCTCTAGAATCTGGAATAGGAATTGAGAATAGGAAAGGATTTGGATTGATATTGGAAAGGGATTGCATTCTCCCCTGAATCACCCAGAAAAATCCAAGCCTGGCAGTCATTTAGATCAAAGCTCTTTAACAACCCATTTTCAGTATTTGAAGATCTATAAGATAGAAAGCTGTTTGTTTTAAGTCACTAGTGTTAATGTGGTTTTGAGCTGGAGGCCTTTGAGGCATTAAGATACAAGAAATAATTTATTAAAGTTGAGTTCACACATTTTGTTTTAAATCTTTTTGTCAAATTTCTCCATTTTTTCTATTTCATGTTAATTTGCACATTTATTTTATTAAATTTCTGTATTTTCCAAATTTCTCTCAAGGTTTCTTTCATCATAGATGAGTCTATGAATGAGTCTGTGTGCATGTGCATAAAAATGTGTGTGTTTATTTGAAGTGTACACACAAACACACACTCCTCATTCTTGAACATTTTCTTTGGTCTCAACAAAATATATTTAACATTTTATTTATACCTTACAATATCTGGTTGAAGTAAGGTTTATTGTTCCACATTATCTTCAGAAAGAAAAAACTGAAGCCAGGTGGATAACATTTTTAACAATTACATAATGCAGTTAAAACTCAATGTCCATTATCTCAAGTTATATACAAATGGATACACCCACCATGCACTCTTAATTTATGTATGGCTTCTGTAATTCAGAGGATTGCATTTTTAAAACAAATTGCAGTTGGTTGTATGTAATTATACTCCAATATATCAATTAGAATTAAAAATTCTAGTGATGTATAACTCATGTCAGATCAAGAACATAGGTAGCTGAGTCACACCAGACATTGGTGGGAAATATATCTTATAATTTGGAAGAAAGCAAGGTTTCATATATAAGTTATAGAAACTGTGATATTAAAATAAGGCAATTCACATTTGATAAACTATTTTTACATAATCTGCAAGATCAACTCACAGACATATATGCATGATATATGTATACATATACAGATGTTAAACACCACATACTGGTTTAAGAAAGAAGTGCAATGCAGATGCACAAAACATCATGAAAGAGCTTTAGAAACATAATGTAGCGATTCATGATGAGCCCAGAAGAGATCAGAACAACTTCCCACCATAAATCTGTTTTGATTATAAAGCCATTATATTAAAACAAGTGCATTTAGGATGGCTTGTTATGCAGAAATAGATAACTGATACAACAATAAAACTGAGACCAATGATAATAATATGCTTTTTACCATTCTAGGCATTTGTAGCAATATTTGATGATAGCATCCATGATTAGTTTGTTATTGAAGTTTATTTCTGATAACTGCATTAAAAAGTGTCTTCATGGAGATTCCCTATGGATAACCAGGAGAGGTTGAAAGAATATGCATGCTTGTGTAAAACCTATAACTTTGAATCCCAAAACTGGACAGGAATTCAAGGTCACCAGTGAGTTATCCTTTGGTCACTTATGTACATATATGACATATCTATGGATCACTTATTAGTATATATAATGGATGAAAATGATAGGGTTCATTCCCTACCCCTTTAGTGGTTACAAAAGTATTTAGAGTCAGGGAAGATGCTTCATTTAGAATAGTAGAGGGAATCATATTAGAAGGCAGCAATGTAAGTTTTCAAGTGGAAGCAGGAGATATTTCAATAGGAAACATACTTAAGGCAAGAAAAACTCCACCCCAATGTTAAATCCCGTCACACAGGGACACCGA